GGGCTGCGGGCGCCCCCCCCCGCCGAGCCGAGGCCCCCACCAGTGAGCGCCACGGTTCACGTCCCCTGCACTGGGCTGGCGGGCGCTCTGTAGTGTGTCCCCGCCGACCCCTCTCAGAGCTAGCGCCAGCGGCCAGAGCACGTGTCAGAGCGGGCGCGAACGGGGCCCGGCCCCTCCACCTGGGGACGGACCTAGCGGGCAGGCTGGGGGAGAGAGCTATTTTATCTAACTAACAATAAACACGGAGGTCAGACAGAATAAAACGCCCCAAATGCAGGAACGCAAAACCCTGCGGAAAAAAAAATCGAATGAAAGGGCGATAAGTAATTTGCTTGATAAAGAATTCAAAGAAATGATCATAAGGATGCTCAACACACTTGAAGGTAGAATAGAAGAACGCAGAACTTCAACGGGGAGCAAAGAAATATAGTACAGGCCCAAATCAGAGATGAAAACTACACTAACCGACGTGGAAAATACATTAGAAGGAAACAGCAGATTCAGGCAGCAGAAGAGATTAGCCACCTATATCGCCCAATCAGAAACACGAGGAATTTAAAAAATGAGCATAGGCTAAGGGACCTCTGGGAGGACACCAAGTGCTCCAACATTTGCATGGTGGGCGTTCCAGAGGAGAAGCCGAACAACTAAAGGAGCTAACCACCGCTACCCTGGCCTTACAACAAATGTGACTCTTCCTTAGGCAGAAAAGGAAGAGTCGTAACCAGAAATAAGAAAATACAGGGAAGGGAAAATCTCACTGGTAAAGGCAAATATGTAATAAACAGTGAATCAACCACTTAAAAAACTAAAGTGAAGGTTAGAACACAAAGGTAGCAAAATTAACTATAACTACAGTAAGAAGTCAGGACATACAGAAAACAGATAAAAACGTCAAAACCAAAATGAGGATGAGGGTGCAAAAACATATTGCTTTTAGAATGGGTTTGGACTTAAACACGTATCAGCTAAAAAATAGACCATTATATAGATGGCTATCTGTGAACTTCAGGGTAGCCACAAAAAGCATACACAAAAATAAATAGACCCGAAGAAAGCACTAAAGAAAATGAGTAATTCTAAAGGGATCGAGAGAAGAAACAGCAAAACAACCCACATAAGTAACAAAACGGAAAAAAGCATATACTTATCGATCATTTGATGTAAATGGACTAAATGCTCCAATCAAAAGGTAAAAGGTGGCTGAATGGATTAAAAATCTAGAGCCATCTCTGTGCTGCCTACAAGAGATCAACTACCTACGAAACACACAGCCCGAAGGGAAGGGACGGAAAAAGACGTTCCATGCCTATAGAAATGGATGGAAAGCTGGGGTCGCAATACTCATGTCAGACTGAATAGGCTTTAAAACGAGGAATGTAAAAAGAGACAAAGGAGGACATCACATAATGAAGTGGTCGTCCCAAGGGGACGACAGGACAGCTGCATACATCTACGCCCCCAACAATGGCGCACCTAACTATATAAAGCAGGAGCTAGTGGAACCTCGGGCAGAAATGACCGGTGATGTAATAACACTTGGGGGCTTCAATACCCCACTTACCTCAGTGGGTAGGTCATCCAGACAGTTAATCTGGAAATAAAGGCCTTAAATGTCATGTGAGACTAGATCGACTAGGCATTTATAGGTCATTTCATCCCCAAACTTCACAATACATATTCTTTTTAAATGCACATAGAATATTTTCCAGGGTAGACCACATATGAGGAAAGTTGAAATTCGATCAAGCATATTTTCTGACCACAGTGGCATAAAACTAGAAATCCACTACAGGAAGCAAATAGGAAAAAGCACAAATACGTGGAGATTAGACAACGTGGTAGTATACAACCACTGGATCAAAGAGGAAACCAAACAAAATCAGAAATGTCCCTCAGACAAATGAACATGAACACGCACCTTTCCGAAATTTATGAGATGCAGCAAAAGACCTTCTAAGAGGGAAGTTCTTAATATAGAGGCCTACCGCAAGAAACAGGAAAACCCCAAATAAACGATATAACTATCCCTAAAGGAATCAGAGAAGAAGAACAAAGAAACCAATGTGGAAGGAAGGAAATACTCAAGATCAGATCAGCCATAAACAAAACAGAGGAAAAAAAGTAGCAAAGGTCAATGAAACTAGAGCTAATGCTTTGAAAAGGGCAAATAAAATGGACAGATATCTAGCCAGACTTAAAAAGAGAGGGGGCCTAAATAAATAAAATCAGAACAGAGGAGAGATGACAACCGACACCACAGAATACAGAGTGCCATTAACTGTGAACAATTACATGCTAAGGAATCTAGAGGAAGTGGATACATTTCTAGAAACAGAACAGTCTTCCAAGAGTAAACCAGGAAGGAACAGGGAATCTGAACAGACCTATTACCAGCAGTGACGTTGAAGCTGTCGTCAGAAAACTCCCAACAAACAGAAGCCCAGGGCCGGAGGGCTTCACGGGTGAACCTGCCAAACATCCTTCTTGAAGCATTCCAAACAACTGAAGGGGAAGAATGCCTCCAAACTCTTTCTACGAGGCCAGCATTAGCCTGACACCAGATCCAACAAAGACACCACAGAGAGTCGCAGGCCCATATCCCTGATGAACAGATGCAAACGTTCTCAACAAAACATGAGCAAACCGAATCCAAAAATACATTAAAAAGATTATGCACCATGCCCAAGTAGGACTTACACCGGGGATGGAAGTGTGGTTCAAATCCGCAAGTCAGTCAGTGTGGTACATCACATCGACAAAACCAAGGATAAAAATCACACGAAACTCTCAACAGATGCGGAATAATTCAACATCCATTTATGATGAAACTCTTGACAAGCTGGGTATAGAAGGAACTTACCTCAAAACGATAAAGGCTAGATATGACAAGCCCATAGCTAACATCATACTCAATCGTGAAGGGCTGAAAGATTTTCCTTGTAGATCAGGAACAAGACAAGGATGCCCACTCTTAAAACTATTATTCAATATAGCATTGGACGTCCTAGCCACAGAAAGGAGGCAATAAAAAGCATCCAGACTGGAAAGGAAGAAGTAAAACTGTCACTCTTTCTGATGACATACTATATATAGAAAACTGTAAAGAACCCGCGAGAAATTAATGGAATTCAGTAAAGTAGCAGGATACAAAATTAATATACAGAAATCTGTTGCAGTCCTATACACTAATAATGAATGATTAGAAGGAGAAATTAAGAAAACAATCCCATTTACGATTACATCAAAAAGAAGGAAATATCCAGGAATGAATCTGACCAAGACCCCGAAGACAGAAATGGAAGAGGGCACACGTGAACGGAAGGGTACGCCCTGCTCAGGCGCTGGAAGGGTTGCTAGCATTACGATGGCCATACTGCCCGAAGCACGCTACAGATTCATTGCAATCCCTGTCGAAATACCGAGGGCGTTTTTCACAGAACTGAATAATACTAAAATTGACGTGGAACCACGAAAGACCCTGGAGGTATCACACTACCTGCTGTCAAACTGTACTACAAGGTAGTAAGCAAAACAGCATGGGACCAGCATAACAATAGACTCATAGATGAATGGAACAGACTCGAGGGCCCAGAAATGGACCCACAGCTACGTGGTCAATTACTCTGTGTCAAAGGAGGCAAGAATATACAGTGGAGTAGAGACAGTCTATTCAATAAAAGGTGTTAGGAAAACTGGACAGATACATGCAAAACATGAAACTAGACAACTTTCTTACGCCATGTACAAAAATGGATTAAAGACTTAAATGCAAGACCCGAAACCATAAAAATCCCAGAAGATAACAGATAGTAAACTCTCTGACACTGCTCTTAGTAATATTTTTTTGGATATGTCTCGTCGGCAAGGGAAACAAAAGAAAAATTAAACAAATGGGATTATATCAAACTGAAAAGTTTTGCACAACAAAGGAAACCATCAACAAAATGAAAAGGCAGCCTAGTGAATGGGAGAAGATATTTACCAATGATAGATGTGATAAAGGGTTAATATCCAAAATATATAAGCAACTTACACAACTGAACAACCCCCCAAACAAACAACCCAATTAAAAAATGGGCAGAGGGCCTGAGTAGACATTTCTCCAAAGAGGAGACACCGATGGCCAATGGACACATGAAAAGATGCTCGGCGTCACTAATCATCAGGGAAATGCAAATTAAAACCACAATTAAAACCTCACACCTGTCAGAATGGCTATTGTCAATAAATCAACAAAAAACAGGTGTTGGCAAGGGTGTGGGGGAAAGGGAACCCTCATGCACTGTTGGTGGGATTGTAAATTTGTGTAGTTGCCATGGAAAACAGGATGGAGGTTCCTTAAAAATTTTTAAATAGAACTACCCTATGATCCAGCAGTTCTGCTTGTGAGCATTTATCGGAAGAAATCCCAAACACTGATTTGAAAAGACTTCAGCACCCCTGTGTTCACTGCAGCATTATTTATAGTAGCCAAGACATGGAAGCAATCTAAGTGTCCATGGACAGACGATTGATAAAGAAGAGGTGGTACATAGACACAATGGAATATTACTCAGCCAGAAAAAAAGAATAAAATCTTACCATTTGTGACATGGATGGACCTGGAAGGTATTAAGCTAAATGAAGCAAGTCAGACAGAGAAAGACAAATACTATATGATTTCACTTATATGTGAGATCCGAAAAACAAATGAACAAACAAAACAGAAACACATAGATACAGAGAACAAACTGGTGGTTGCCAGATAGGAAGGGGTGAGGGGATTCCGACGTACCAATTGGCCGTTACAAAATAGTCACGGGGTGAAATTTACTGCACGGGGAATATAATACAGTAATGACTACGTACGGTGTCAGGTGGGGACTAGATCCGTTGGTGGAATCGGGTATATAAACATCTAACCACTATGCTGTACCCCTGAAACTGCTATGATCTCGTATGTCAACTGGAATTGGAAAATAAAGAGAGCGACGTGCCAAAAGGCCGACAAAGATTCTTCATCGAAGGGACTAAGGGACTTAGCGAAGAATTCACATGATTTGGTTTTACGTTCTGAATGAAGAACAGATCTGTTAGGAACTGATTAGTACAGTTAGACAATGTCCAGCAAAAATGTTATTTTTAGACGTTACTTTTCCAAAAAGACCCCCCGCGCCCCGCCCACAGTCACGCACGCTCGAATGTTCTGTTTGGCTGTCTCGGTTTCCCGTGCATGGACGGCTCGTTCCGCCCGTGCCTTTGCCGAGTCTCACGATTCTTGGGTGGGTGAAAACCAACACACAACGTCTGGGCACAGAAGAGAGAAACTCTACAGGCTTTTCTTACCTTTTCCTCTGAGTCCCCCGGCTGACAGGTAATTACTCCATCCCTCGATCCTCCAGCAAAAGTTGCCTTACAATTTGCAAGCCACTGTTGTCACAAAGAGACACAGGTCAATTCAGTGACGCCCTGAGGACATTTTTGTCATCAATTCTGTTAGGGAAAACTGATTAAGCTTCTAATCACAGTAAAGTAAAATTTTGCTGTAACGACTGAAAATAATTCTTTCTAGTTAAAGATGAACTATTTGAAATTAAAATATCTGTGTATGCGGGTTCAGTGATGTTCATTTAATAACATAATTTCAACGCTGTGACACGTCACCCTGGAGCATGGTTTCACCGGACCACTCCTAATTTATGTACAAATTAAAACAAATTCATGTACGGTTAGAAAGCGTTCATATGATTGAAATTAGGCGGTGGGTCCCTCACTGCCTCACGGCCGGGTAGTTCTGGACGGTGTACCCTGACGTGCCACACCATCCTGTCATGTCGAGGTGGCTTCTGAGGGGGCAGGTCAACGTTGGTGTAAGAAAGGCTGTTATCACAGCTGTTTAGAGGATCTGCCAGTCTGAAGCATCTGGACAGTAACTGATCCAGACATGAAAAGGAACCTCTGGGCAGAAAACACTAAGCACTGGAGAACTGGAGTCCACACCTGACGTCCAGACACTGGTCTGTTCACCTGCCAGAACCAAAGGGAATCCCTTGTATCAACGCGTGACTGAGAAGCTGGAAACAGTGACAGGCAGAGAGCCACCAACATAGACGACAGTGAGACCTGTAACAGTAGAACGTCAGAACTCTTGACCTTGAACAGGTCACGAGCTGATCAAAACAATAGCAAAGAACCAGTGACTTCACAGTGAACGTCTTCTATGTATGAGGCACGGTGCCAGGCAGTTTCCATGTATTATTTCTATTTAAAGGCGATATTGTATTGTGGCCCCATTACAGTGCTTCTCCCTTCTAGCTAAAGACAGCAACCCCCCAGGGAGCTGTCGGCATCACATGATTTAAGAGATTTAATTCTTATCAGGTGGCTGGACACAAAGAATTCAGAAAACGTTAGCTGCTATGATGGTTCTTAATTATCACAGTCTTACAAGAATTTTGCAAAGAATTATGATTGCTGTCTTACAGATGATCAGTCTGTGATGAAAGAAAATGAGTAACTGATCCAAGGTCCCTAACCTTTCTGTAGCTGAGCTATGGTGTGAACCACAGGCCATCTGACTACATAATCCATGCCCTTTGATTACTGCCTGGCGTATTACACAGACATTACCCAGTTGTCAGAAATCAGGTTTTTTTTTTTTTTTTTTATCACTTCTGTCTCTAACATTTTACAATCTAGATCTAGACTCACAATCTAAAAGGAAAGAGTAAAGAGCGGGAGCCGAGGCCAAGAGAAGCAATGGGGACCGGGACTCAGCTCCCACGAGTGGTTAGAGGGGGGACGAGACTCATCTTAACCAGTCCTGGGGGAGTGAGGCTACCCCGGAAGGGAGTTAACTGGCCATTTCACAGCTCCGAGGAAAAACAAGTTATAAAACTGATAAAAGGACAGATCAAGCAGAGGCCCACCTGTCCCAGTTTCTTGGTAAGGAAATTATGGGGCTAAAAATAAAAGCTAAACACTTTCTCCTTTGTAGATATCTTTTTTTTTTATAATCCACACTATCGACAGTTCCGCCACCATTAAATTGGAGCTGTAACTCCAACATAGCAATGGATGCGGCCTGTCTCCCCCAAAACGCCTCCCCCCCCCAGCTAATGACAGCCGCTCCCACGGGCTCGCAGCGGCCGGCTCGTTGGTGTGTAGCCCAGTGCCAGGTGTGCAGAGACGTGAGCTTACTGCGAGAGTGGCCTCTTTTCTGTTGTTGTAGGTGTCCAAGTATTCCTGCAGTTCTAAAACACTGAACTTGAGCTTGTCCAGGAGTCCGCAGGAAAGGAGCTGAAGATGGGAAGAGAATGTGTGTTAAAGCCACCGGAGACACACCTGGCGAGGCCCGGCTGCCTGCGCAGAGAGGCAAACACACTGGGAAGTGCTGCGAGGCGGGGCAGCGGCATCCGTTTGAACGAGCCGCACGGTCTGTGATGCTGCTCCCTGTCAGCTGCAGCTACAGCTGTCTGTCTGCTGGTCCAGACCGCCTGAGAACACATCTGTTTTGCCTGCATCGGTGCCGACAGATCTAACGAGGATAGCACGGAGCACACGTTAAGAAGCACCATCCATTTATGCACGGACGCTAGCATCTCAGTAAACTCCACATACTGGAGAGACCTCCAAACAGACTTTCAGATGGATTTTGTGTTTAATTTCTACGTCCTCGTGGGAGGCTGATTGATTTCTCAGCTCGTGGGCCTGGCCGCGAGACAGCCGGCTCCCAGTCAGGGTCTTGGGAAGAAGGACTATTCAGAGTCTTGTAAAGTCGAAGATGCTGTCACTGGTTCTAAACCTCAGACTCGCTTGGCACTGAGGTGGTTCTGTGACACACGGGGGACCTAAGGCACTAACACCCGCCCCCCACCCTCGCACAGCGGGCCAGGCTCAACGGGTCACAGTCTGATCGCAAAGCCACGACTCGGTTGGCCAGAGACCGTCTTAACACCCTTTAAATGCGTCATTGGCAGTGTGGGCTGGGCTTTACTTCCGGAGGGCAGTCAGGGTCCTACTGAGACTCCCCAGTCAGGGTCTCGGGAAGACGGACTCTTCAGAGTCTTGTAGAGTCGAAGATGCCGTCACTGGTTCTAAACCTCGGACTCGCTCAGCACTGAGGTGCTTCTGTGACACATGGGGGACCTAAGGCGCTAACACCCCCCTCCCCACCTCGCAGAGTGGGCCAGGCTCGCCAGGTCACAGTCTGGTCGCAAAGCCGCGACTCGGTTGGCCAGAGACTGTCTTAACACCCTTTAAAAGCATCATTGGCAGCGTGGGCTGGGCCTTACTTCCGGAGGGCAGTCAGGGTCCTACTGAGACTTGGGGGTGGGGACTGTGGTGACGTGTTATCTCTGGGGACCTATCTGGCCGGGCTGCCTGGCAGGGTCAGGACTGGAAGGTCGGCTCTGGAGGGCTAGCCCTCCATCCACCCCGCTGTCAGTCCCTGGGGTGGGGTCCCAAGGACACAGAGAGCGCCCAGAGTGGGTTTCTCTCCCAATCTCTGAAGTGACTCGCCTTGGCCCGGGCGGCACGTACCATCCTTCTGTGCCGACGCCAGCCTCTGACAGTCACGTCCCACCCGGCGCTGCTCACAGTCACTGCACGTGTCCCTCCGCCAACCACAGCGCAAACCAGCCTCCCCGCAGGCCACCGGGACACTCACGGTCTCAGCATCCACGAAGAGCGTGGGGCACTCGGAGCAGGAGGTGAGCATCTGCGAGGAGCTGACGAACTTGGCCCCGATGCCCCGGAGGTTGTCCCCCAGGTAACTGGCCGCATCGCAAGTGAGGAAGCAGAACCTTTTCTGGATGTTCTGAAAGGCAAAATAGTGACCATTTGTAAAGGCAGGTGCTAACCTGGGGACGAGAAAGGCCTTTCCTCATCTTTATAAAGACAGCGACAGGGCATAGGTCCTGGGCGTGCAGCGGGCACTGTCAGCATGTGGCCCCCCAGAACCGCTGCCGAGCCCTCTGCGCCTGTCCGTCAGATCAGTGAGAAGCCACTAACGTGGCTGCAACGCAGACGAGACAAGGTCACGGCTCCGAGACGAAGCATGGACATCGTGCCGTTTGAGCTTCTGAAGAATAGAGAGTAAATGCTACGTGGGACCCAGGCCGAACCTCCCCCGGGAACACACCTGTGCAGGTGCCTAACTCTGCCCTCCGGCTTTGTCTGCATCAGCTCAGTGATCCTCACAACCACACGAGAGATGAAATGACTCACGTAGGGCCCTGCCACCAGCGAGTGATGGAGCGAGGGTGAGCCTGGCTCCGGAATTCACAGCCCTCGAGGTCACTGTCCCTCCTGTACCTTCTGAGGATGAACCCAAGCTAGGAGGCCTTGATGTCCACGTGGGAACATTCTTAGCCCCCGAATGTCCACACGTACTATTTTCAACAAAAAGGATAAACTGTATTTTAACCCCAAAATGATTCCAGTCCTGGGCGCTGGCTTTCCCCAGAGAGATGCCACACCTTTCTAGCCGTGGGCTCTCACCTACGAGAAAGCTGCTCCGCCCCGCTGTGGGGGAGCGAGGGGGCCCGACGGCCGTGGGCTCTTTACAAGATATGCTGGTAAATGCCAACCATGTTGCGTTTTATTTTTTATATCTGGGAATCTTGGTATAATGCCGAACGTACATGCCTTTACAGTGTCGTTAGTTTTACGTGCCGATGCCCACCCCTCGACAGTTGTTAGAGTTGAAAGGGGCAGGAGATGCCGCGTCTGGCATCACGCAGCTCATCGAGTGGCAGGGCCAGAAGTGAGATTACGTCTCCCAGATATTTGGGGTTCTTCCCATCTTACCTATGGATGAGGCGAGATCTAGGTTCCGTTTTCATTACACTGAGCACTTTAGAGCCACAGGGAAAGGCAGGTGATGTTTAAGGGACGTAAACTCTGTTTTGTTCCCCTGACGTCCCCATGAACACGCCCCATAACTTGGTGGCTTTGTGTACTCCAATGACAATATTCCAGCAGGAGTGGCAGGAAGGAAGTATAGTGACCAAGACACTTGGAAAGACGTCCGTGCTGGACCATTAGAAACAATTTTTTTTCTTTTTAAAGCCAAATTATTTTTGCAATTACTTCCTCTCCCCGCTTCCAAAATCCACCACATCATAGGAGGACGTGGTGTTTGGACTCATGGGAAAAAGCTGGAAAATCGTATATAGACACGGTGAGGACCCGGCGGGTGGTTAGCAGACGACGTGTCTGAGGTGGGTTTCACTTCCAGCATCTCTCCTTAAAACCTGTGTCGCTACTATTATTGCTCTCAATCACATGGCACGAGGAAGTTCTTAAGGCTAAATGCGACATCAGAAACGAACAGGGCTGTACGCAGTAGGACTGCAGCTAAGCTCCGCGGGGATTGGTCTAGCACACTAATGAAACAAAACTCCCACACACACGTGCCCCTGGGCCCAGCCCCACCTCCCAGCCCGCCTCACAGGCTTCTGGGCCACGGGCATTAAGCCAGAAGCGGTACGTTTGAGATGTCCATGAACAAAAAGAAAAGACTTCCGGTCATTCTTCTGCGTTTGCTGAGTCCCGTTTTGTGTGGACGAGGGTGCGGGGGGCGGGGGGGGGGTCAAAGTGAGACACCGTTACCTGCCCTTGCTAGGGGGGACAGACACCAAAACAAGTGGCTCGAACAGTGTGACAAGTGTGACAGATGCGACTGCACTGCTCGAGATCCCGGGGGACAGGGGAAGGGAGAGAGAAGCAAAGGGAGGTTCCGCTCACTGAAACGACATCCAGTCAGAGATCTGCACTCAATGGGGAAGACAGTGGGGGAGAAGAGGAGGTGACCACGCTATGCAGAAGGGTAAGTACTGCTCAGGACTGTAAAACTGAGCCTGAATAGTCTAGTGACTAAAAAAGAAAAAAATTTCTACAATAGCCAAACTTTAACGTGCATTATTAACCATTATTTTAAAGGAGACTTTAAGACGAACTAAATAATCGCTCCCGAATCCTTAACAATGAAGTTGACGTCAAAGGGCGGCTTTCTGGTGGTTGGTTTTTAAACTTCTGTCGGGTTTAATGTGGGAGCGTTTCCAGAATTTTTAGCTTTCAGCAGCAGCTGGTTTCTGCCTGAAGCCTGACGGCCCCTCCGGCCCCAGCTGACCCCAGACGTGACCGAGCGCGTCCTCTCTGCCTTCTATCAAGTTCCAAAAGGTAGATGCCAAGCTTGAGAGAACAGCACAGATGACGGGCCTCGAGGCTGAAAAACGGATTCCTCTCACGTTAACCCGGACACAGCTTCCTGAATTTGAAATCATTTAAGGCAGATGACCCCAGTTTGTTCGTTTTGCACTTTTTATATCATTCTGAATTTTCTGGACTTTCCCTTCTGCCACGGCTCTTCCCAGAGGCGCTTAGAGGGCCCACCCCTCAGTCTGTTGCGATATACTCAACAGAACCCAACTTCTAGAAACCTCTTACAGGGCTCTGTCTTGTCTGTCCATTTAGTCAGCCTCTTTCCAGTTTTCCCTGCATCACTAGTGGAGGTCGTTTTCCATGTTATTAGATGTTTAGAAAAATGCTTTTCTGAAGATACTAGAAGAAAAGCATTTTCATTATAAGAAAATAGGGACTTGAAAGAAAGAAGATAAAAGATACCCACAATCTCACGACCCCTGAATAAACTACAACGAAATGCTAGTGCTGAGTCCTCATCTTTCCTAGGCATTAAAAATAAAAAGGAGCAGTATTCTGCGTTATTTTTCAAACCGGTTTTCTCTTAAGCCTTACGGGGCCCGTGTTCCCACATCAGTGACTCTCAGGCTCGCGGCCGAGCGTCGGCCCCACGCTGCCATTCCAGCGGCGGACACCCGCCTCGGTGGCCGCTTCCCGCCCCCGCCGGCATTGGGCGAAATTTGGACAGAACAAGTTCAGGGCAAGACAGAGAAATACGGACGAATCTGCACGACCAAAGATAGGCAGGCGAAAAATAAGCCGCCGCCAGTCAGCGGTTGGTTGAGTCCCTCCATCTCTCCAGTCCAGCGGTTGTTAAGTGTGTTTGGGGTGGCGGGGCGCTCTGCAGGCGCCCACAGGGATGGCTCCGTGGAGCTGGGTGAGCATGACGCCCCGGTGCCCGGCTGGGGGCTGGACCCAGCCTGTCCTCTGCTGCCACATCCAGGCCGCAGCCCTTGGGGGAGGTACACTGGTTTCCGATTCGCACCATGGCGACACCGTGGACTGGCTGGGCCGTGCTTCACGCAAGGGAAGCAAAAAGTGACCTTTCATCTGGCAGAGGTGGCTCAGGAGAGCGGGTGAGTGTTCACGGCCCCAGCTGGAAGTTCAAGGGCCCCGTGGGGCGGGAAGTTCAAGGGCCCCGTGGGGCGGGGATAAATGACAGGGAACGGAAGAACAAACAATGAAGGACACAGACACCGAGAGTGTCCTGGGGAAGCAGAGGTGGGGGGAGGCCACCCATCGGCAAAGGCCAGAGGGCAGGCGTGACAGGACGCCACGGCAGCCCGGGTGCCAGCTCGGGGAGGGGCGTGGGAGCAGGGGGGAGGCTGGGAGAGAGGAGAAGCCGGAACCGGGGCGCCTGCCCCAGATGAGCCGCCGGCCCCCCGCAGACAGCATGCCCCGCGGACTCGCACCTTAAACAAGGAGGAGAACACGTGGAAGGTGTACACGGCACAGGAGCCGTCCGAGTCGCCCATGAGCTGCGTGACGTGGCTGTGCCAGGCCTCCTCGGCGTCGTCGCAGGCTGCGGGCTGGAACGCGGCCAGGATGGCCGAGAAGAAGGGCGAGGGCGGTGGGGAGACGCCCCTGTCGCCGTCCCCGAAGCTGGAGGAGAGGAGAGGGCCATCAGCAGGGATGGCCCCCCCTTCCCGCCCCTGTGCACCCGCGGCCGCTCTGGGGACGTGGCTCTCGTGGGGCCGCCCGGGTCCTTCCTGACTGTGCAGAGCAGCGTCCCTGCTCCGCTCGGCGCTCTCCCCCAGCACGTCGGCCCTTTCGGTCCTTGGCGTTTTTCATTACGAAAAATTAGAACAAAAATTCTGAATCTGTCGGCTTTGCCCCAGGGCTGCATGTGCACGGACGGCCAGAAGGGACGTGGCAGGAGGGGAGGGGAGGGGAGGGGAGCGAGGCCCCCTTCCGGGCGTCACCAGGAGCGGCTCGAGCCACCGTTTGCAAGCGTGGCCGTGGGATCCTGGCTGCCTTTCCTGAAGTAAACCTGCAGCGTCACCTGTGACTCATGCCGGATGCTCACGAGTACTTCCTCCGAGTTGCAGTCTGACTAAGCGCACTCGGCAGACACAGCAGCTGCCACCTCAGGGAGAGGAGGCCCCAGCTGTGGCTTTGTAGCCCAAAACGGAAAGAAGCCACCTCCCTGCTTGCCACCCCTGCCTGTTTTCAAAGCTCACAGGCGTGGGCCAGGTCCCCAGGCCCATTGAGCTTCGCATGTCCCTCTGTGGCCTTGCGACTTCCTACATGGGTGGCTTTCCGGCTCTGTGTGGGCCCTGCGGGGGGCTGGATGACCCCAGCCTAGGAGCCCTCCAGGTTGCATGTCACTTTGGACTCCTTCATGAGGAAGTGCCAGCACTGCGCGTGTGCCGTGCGACCGGAGTGGCAGTGAGGTCCCCTCCCCTGGGCGGCCCACCTTGCCAGCGTGAACTGCTCCAGGCCCCGGCCGCCTTTGCCCTCGGCCTCCGTCATGTCCAGGCTGAGGCTGTCGCTGCACTCGAAGGCTGCGGGCAGCTCGTTGGTGGAACTGGAGAAGTCCTCTTCCCGGACGACGTCCCCCTCCTGGACAGCGTCAGCCTGGGACAGTGAGAAAGAGGGGGGCCTGGGCTATGAGAGGTGCGGACGGCTGCTCACCTCTCCTGATGGGACGCAGGGGTCCCCGGTGGCTGTCGGGTGGCCTTGTCGGACCTGCGACTGTGGAGTGAAAACACTGCGACCACTGTGACCCCTGTCCGGCCCCCACGCTCACAAGCGAGGGACAGGACTGCACCTGGGCCCTGGCTGCTGTGTCCCCAGAGCGGAGAGGGCTCAGAGCCACCCAGGCCCGGAGCTCTGTGGCTGAACAGTGCTGGGTGCAGCCATCTCTGCACACGGAACCCTCGCCACGGAGACCAGAACTCGGAGCCCTCGGTGACGCTGCGCCAGCTGCCCACAGGCCGTATCCCCTGTGCGTGAGCGGCCTGTGGCCCTTCGCCGAGCCGGCCACGCAGATGGCCTGCCACGCTGCAAACCTGTTATGATCCCGTCGTCTGGGCCTGACTCTCGGGGACACCCCTCGAAGGGGACAGGGCCGAGGGGCTGCGTCCACGGAGTTGTGAAACGTGGGGGAGTGGAAAGGGCTGAGGGAGAGGTGGCACCAGGGGCTGAGGGGGCAGGGAGGGGTGACAGCGGCTGACTGTTCCCGACGAGAGCAAGGGGCCAGCAGGTCACAGGGCGGAAGCAACCGCACGTACGTGCCGGTGAGTCATTTTCTTAAAAACCCAAAACCCGGGCCAAATGGAAGCGTATAATGAATCAGAGCATGGCCACGGGGGACACCTGGCCGTCCGCTGAGTGCTCTGACCCTGGGGCTCAGGGGACCGGACAGGGCGCTGGCAGACACGTTGGGGAAAGCGCGTCTCACATCTGCGGGAGAGTCGCTTGTGAACCCTAATTTTCAGACCCTTTTCCGCATCTGCTGCTTCCTGCGTTTTTGAAATGACAATGGTGCCAACAGGGCTGGCCACTGGTGACGGGTCCGGGCTACTCGTGCATGTCCACTTAATCGATCAGGGGACAGCTGAGTTCTTAAAAAAACATCTTTTGTTTTCTCTTTGTAACATCTCGTATATATCAAACGTTGCAGAAATCCAGAGATAGCTTTTCAGAAATCAAACTCAGACTTTCCTTGATAGAATTAGATTTCTGTGTGACTCCCTAAAAATATTATTACTTAGGCAGTGCTCTCTATGGGAAGTCTACATCGGTTAGCATTTGAAATCGAAAATTTGAGAAAACGCCTATTCAAAGACTGAGAAGTGTCCAATGTTAACTTTGCAGCTGTTCCGTGATGTCCTTTCCACGAAGTTTAATTTCTTAATTTTAGGATTCTGGCATTTTAATCTCAGAAAAGGTTCCTTTCTGGGCCCCCCTTTTTTTTTTGGCTAAAAAAAAAAAAAAAAGACTCTGCTAACTCTAAGAATCCCTGGTCACAGTCCCTGTGCAATGAAATCTTAGACATAACTTTTCTTCCCATTTCTGCAGTTTTAGGACATGGCAGTTGGGAAGATTTGCCACGATCTCAGGAACACGGAATGGCCAGTACTGCGTTTTTTCCACTACAAGTATCGGAAAGGATATACTTTTATACATTTTTATTTTCTTCGGTTTTACTCTCTCTTTCGAAGTTGTACTGCCGGCAACCAAACTGAAGGAAAAAACCACCCCACCAGCCCTGGTCACTTGGGTGCGTCTGATATAAGAACACGGAATTCCACGCTGACGGCAGTGCGCATTTCTGCGGCAGGATGTTTTCTGGGCATTTAGATGAGATCGACTTTAAGTAAAGTCCGTATCGTTAGATTCTTTTCTTTTTAAATAAGAAGATGGCATCGTTACTTACTTTTGCCCTCAGAGCCTGGCTGGGACCGTTTGTCCTGTGCATAATGCTGTGATTGATACTGAAGGTTGGGACAGGGTGCCCAGAGGCGAGGACGGAATCAATGTGCAAACTGTGTCCTCGGTTCCTACACAGGAAAAAATGTCCCCGAATACGTGCGCACCCCCGCGCTACACTCGGCACGCTGTTTTAGGAAAGTCACGACAGAGAACAGCCATTTCCCAGTCACTGCGATCTGGGACATGTGCCAGTTTGTCCTGCCAGTCGTCAGCCGTGTCCAACGCGTACGGAAAATGTTTCATGTTAAAAGACCTCAAATCAAATCGCGTCCAACCGACAGGAGGTGGTGCTCAGGTTGTGAGGGCGAAACAGCTGGAAAACGAACTCCATTATTTCAGGAAAGTAAAAGGGAAGAGAAAGACAGTCCCCACCCCGCTCCCTTCCCCGGTGACCGCCCCTAAGAATTCCAGAAATTGGAAGCACCTTTCCTAGGGGGAAACCGCAGTCACCGCTGTCAGACCCTCTCACCTTGGAGCCCTCGGAGATCTGGAGGTTGGCGACGTCGGCCAGGGAGGAGTCGAAGCTGGCTGTCCGGGCGCCGAGGGGGCGGGGGTCTGCGGGCGGCATGTCGCCGTCCACGGGGTTGGCCTCCTCAGCAGGAGAAAGAGTCATGATCTGTTGACAGAGCGAGGCAACGTGAGGCAGTGCGACGTCTCTGTGAAGCTGTAGCTACCGTCCCCAGGAGCATGCAGACCATCGCATGAGCTGAGCTGGGTGCAGGTCGTGGGGTCTCGGGGATGCATGCGTCACACTGTCATGATGCCCCGAACATAGGAGCTGGTGTGACGGCACGGCCCTCTGCCACCCTGACCCCCGTGTCACGTGAGTGCACCGAAACGCCTGTCTGCCCTAGCTCCTACACCGTCAGATGTCAAGTGTTTCCAAAAAAGATGCCAGCACGATAATGGTTATTTATGAGAAAACCGAGGCGGACACCGATCGAATGGTGTCCAGGGCTTGTCACGAAGGCCTGGCGTCTGTCCAGCTGCAGTCCGCGGAGACGAGGCCGGCGGGACTGGGCTGGACAGCGCTCGGGTTTCGTTAGGCCGCTGGGCACGGTCCCTCAGCGGCCACCGCCACGGTGGTGGTGGTGGTGGTGGTGGTGGTGGTGGTGGTGGTGGTGGTGGTGGTGGTGGTGCTGCTGCTGCTGCTGCTGCTGCTGCTGCTGCTGCTGCTGCTGCTGCTGCTTTAACTCCAGAAACCGGGGCCCCACTTACGAGGTCGGTGTGCTCCAGCAGCTGGCTGGTCGCCAGGTCCTCGTCCTCCGATGACTCGTCGGAGTCCTCGCGGCTGCGGGCGGCTAGGCTGGGGGCGCCCCCCGACAGCTGGCGCTCCTCCAGAAGCTGCACGTCGCACTTGTCCAGGCTGTCCAGGGAGCGCCGGCGAACCCCCCAGTTGAAGTTGTCCACGCTCTCGCCCTGAAATCACACCATCGGCCGCTTTACTCTACGCCCCAGCCTGCTCACGCTGTCCCACTCGCGAAGTCATGGCTGAGAGAGAGGCTTTTCCCTTGTGACTCTCAAGCCCTCACGTCCCTTGGCACCAAATGTTTTGTGACACGATGTGAAAAGCAGCAGAAGCACACTACGTCACCTTCATGCTGCGTAAGGCACAGGTAGACGCGATCACACCTGTCTCTGCCATGGTGGGAAATGTTATGTTGTCTTACAGGGTCATTTGGGTCAACTCTGCAAATGATCCGTGCCTCCAAACATCTGGAAGGGAGAGACCATTCACCGAGCAGCCACCTCGGAAGTGGCGCGTCCCTGCCCTTGGGTCACGTGTTCTCAGAGGGCGAGAAGTGGGACCCGCTTTGCATTAGGCAAGCGTGCTGGCGTTCCCACGCATGAAACGCAGAGTTAAGGACCTTGGGAGCAGCTGGCGGGGGGCAGGGGGTGAGGGGGACGCGGGTCACGCGCCATGCAGCGGCCGCAGCAGCAGGCGCGACTTTGCTTCTGGCTCATCTTGAATAAATTGTCTCAACACAGAAAACTGTTATTTTTCGGAACTTATAATGAGTGACATGGTACCAAGCATTTATCGCCAGCCTGGGCGTTTTAATCTACTGGGAACTGGGCCAAGCGGCAATGCACAAGTGTTAACAAAGTTTCAGCTGTGTGTCCGACTTTCTCTACGAACTGTTTGATATCAAATAACTTTACTTGACCAACGTAAAATGTTTCTCTGGAAACGAACTTAGGTTTTATTTTTCTCTGTTAAGACAGGAATAAAAGAAGAGAAAGATCACCCAGGCCGTTGATAGCAAATTTTAACCTGAGCAAATAGGCGATCTGAATAAAATCTAGCATAGAATCCTTCCAATATGAGTCTGATGGTTCGCTGAAATAAAATCACTTTCTGACGAGAGCTCAGTTAATAGCATAATAATACGAGATGCAAATTACTGTTAAAATTAGTGAGCGTTCAATTGATTACTTTCCCTGTGGTTTAGGGTCTATTTCCTCTGGCATCCAATGAAACAAAGCCTTCCAGAATATTCTCACAGACCTCTCATAGAACAGACTCCTAGTTTTTTCCAAAGTCTGTTTTGGCGATTCACGGCAGAAGGCAACAGGTAAGAATCCCAAACCCATTCTGAATTTGACACAGAAATTATCATTATTCACCCCCAGTTATGATGTTCGTGACCGTGCTTGGGACTGTTTGATTATAAAGAGAAAGACTCAGAATATGATTTCCAGATTCTGAAGCTGCATCTGCTTTTTATGTGCTTCTGTACCTTTGCATCTGTATCATTGATCGCCACAAATAATTTTTTTTCCTGGTGAAAAAGGTTGTTATGCTGGGATTTAAAAATAGCTAGTTCAGTGGGGAAAAAAAATTGAAAAAAAAAATGTGGAAAAGGCAAGAGCTCTGGGAAGAAAAAGAAAATGCAATATGTAAAGAAATGAAAAAGAGAACCGAGAATACCATACAGAGGGAAATAGAATGTGGAAGTGACTGGAAGAAACACACAACTATAAAGCAGAAATTCACAAAACGGGCTCTCTTGCACCAGGTCAGTGGACGGGCTACACAGACTATCTCAGGCGACAACTGTGGAGTTCTCTGCGCTGAACTTGAGCTTGCAGAGGATGCAGACGTCTAGGGCAGAAAATGCTACGGTGGCCGTGGACGCCGGTACCGTTGGTTTGGCTGCAGCTCGGGGGACAACTTGGGTGAATCAGGCCTGAGGCCTGGGAGTCAGGGAAAGCCGTTCTGGCAGGAATAGTCCCTAGATGTTTGCTAGAGGACGTGGTGGCTCCACCAGAGGCAGGGGTACTGGAACTGTTTTCTGGGTGGTGGCTGAGATGGGACGGGCTACAGCCTAGCCTGTGTTACAGGCCATGGCGAAGAAGAGCCAACCAGGACTTCTCAACACAGCCCACGAATATGCCTGCCGGGGGACCACCCTCCACCTTTCCCATGTCCAAATGTCACATCTGCATTTTATGTTACAAACCAGGCCAAAAGTCAAAACGGCCTTTTACTGATTACGGCTGATTATCTGTGTGAGAAAATTCGGGAGATGGCTAACTGTTCCTGATGGACCGTTTGCAGAAGCCAGTCATCGAACTCAATCACACGGGATTTATACCGAGATGAGAAAGCATTAATGACTGAGCATGTTCTAGAAATGTGGGAAATAAGTCTTTGAGATAATTTTTTTCATATTGGAAATCTGTCAAATAAGAATTATCATTGAAGGAACTGGGGTGCACTGTTTATATAACCACCATACAAAGGTAGCTCCTAACTCCTGGAAAATAAAAGTATTCGACTGGAAGCGTGTAGGTACATGGTTAGGTGCAGCTGGTTGATTTTGTCTTTAATAAAATAATTTAACAACGAACTCAACCTAGTCGTGCAAATGCCTAATCAGAAACTAGGATTTCGATGGATCTTCCTTAAAAACTTACTTCCTCTCAGGAGATACAAGCATGCGACTCCCAGAACAAGGCATATAAAGACTTTAAAACTCTCTTGTGTTTCTACTTCAGAACATATTTCCATACTAGAGCCACCAAGGAACATATTTCTTCGGTCACACGCCCCTCAGTGTGAATGTGCACGCAAACAGGCATACATACGCTAGAAGGAAGAAGCAGTTATGTTGTTAAGAATCTGCACTGATGCACAACATCGACTAGCACACCTGAGTCAAAAAGAACATCCCCTTACCTGGAGCTCCTGGGTAGCACATGGAAAGGATAGAAAAACAAATAAAAAGTCTATTTAAAATGTTATATTGAAGGCAGTCAAGTGCTTGCATCTTAGTTTAAACACAACGAAACAGTGCTAATAGTATCTACTTCAGCAGATGCAACTTTCAAAAAAGGTAAAGGTACACGCCCCCCGCCCCCCAGAGAAAAATCAGCATCGAATACCAGAGATTCCACCCCTCGTAGTGGTGGACGGTGGAGCTGGGGTGAGAAATCCCAAACACAATTTCAGAAACAGCTTTCCACTTCCGTGGCAACTTTGGTCTCGACACGTTTTT